GCATCCTAGTCGTGTGGGACACAACTTAAAGTGCTCTGGGCCACCCTGTACTTTGCAAAACTGCGTATGAAGTCCCTAAACAGCTGTATCTATTTTCCCATCTATTTTCGATGTCTTTTTAGTCATCAGCTCGTTTTTACCATTGGGGACGCTAAAAACGGTTTAGTCTCAGAGGCGATTATATGATCCAAGCGCTAGATGAAATCGAACCTTTTATCATCATACAAAAGCCGTAAAGAGCATTTGCTATCTCTCTGTACTGACAGCTTTCTAAGTAACTGGTGCCCCTTGATATCACGCACATACAACAATCAAAACGAGTCTTATAGCTGTCAAGTGACTGCCCAGGGCTTCAGAATCTGTTTCTTCTGTGTTTGTGTGTTTTTTTCACGATCAACAAACTACTGGTATCTGAAGTCTTGTTTTTGTAATCCCCATGAACACATTTATCATTTTCTAAACATTTTCTTTTACCTAAAAACATCATTGAGATATTATTGCCGTCTAAGTCTAGCTCGTTCAATTTAAAGGTATCCAATGCGATTTCAGGGCAACAAAGTTGGAAATATTCTGAATAAGGCAATCTTTGTGATATTGACACATACTGAGCCACATTAGCATGTTTGAGTCAGCATTTCATACTTTGGGCTTTTAAAACAGCAGAAAAAAGCCCCAAGATGAGTCCTTTGTTTTCTGGGTGGTACCCTATAAATCAGCCAAGGGCCCTTCCAGTAACCATTTTCCATCAGAATTTTGTAAATTTTTGCTCCATGACATTCAATATACATTGGGACAGTGTGGTTTCAACTCAGTATGTAGGTAAATGACGAGAATATTGGCTTTGAAAAATCATGTTTACAAGCCCTAAAACTGCATTGGATGCCTTTAAAGACTAAAAGAGTGATGTGGCCGTAAAATCTCCTCAGTGATCACCTAGGTCTTCGCCAACAATTTGGATACAGAACAATGAAAAGCAAGGGGGTTATAAGGCCATAGCTTATTTGAGAAAAGGTTGTTTGAGTCGAGTTCCATGCTTTGGAGTGCAAACATAATACCACTAGCTGAGTTCATAGCTTGGGGCCATGCCAAACTATCTTACTACCAAAGACATCCAGACCGTATCTGTACCATGAAGTACACATACATCAAACCGATGAAGCGGTTTTGTGCCGTCTAATCACACGGACCGAGAGACAAGTAATGAGAAAAAAGACCTCCAGAGAAACCTCTATCCATCAAGTCTAAGCAGCTTTTCTCTGTATCATTCTTCAGCAGACCAACCAGATGAGGGATCTGTCGATACACTGGGATTGCCTAAGATAATAGAGTTTTGGATGCTGCGCATGTTATTCACGCTTTAGGTCACACCAATTTAATTTCTTGGTTAACGGATTCGCGGATTCGTTTTTTTCTGATTTGCAAATAAAAATAAAAATTCAGAATCAACTGCAAAATGCTCATATTTTGCCCTGAACAGTTGAAAACAGTCCTTTTCTTCCTAGTTGTTAGAGTTATTCCATCTTTCAATGCAGTGGTATCATTAAAAGTTCAAAATTCTTTGTTTAAATTTTGAACCAGTCTGGTGTGTTGACTTCATGGCTCCTATCGTACCATTTTGGGCCATTATAGGATGCCTAGGCCTGTTTTTATTTTTTATTTTTTTTGCCCGCCCGCTCCATTATTTTTCTAGAAAAATCAGTTAACCAAGAAATTAAATTGGTGTGGCCTAATAGAGTTTTGGATGCTGTGCATGTTGTTCACACTTTATCCATCTCGAGGCAGTTGGAGCGCAGCGATAGTCTTAGCTTCAAACTTTCTGAGCTGGCTTGGATCTATCCACGCCTTTGGTTTGTTCAGTTGAAGGATTTCGTAAAAGGTTATTGGCAACTTTGACTAAAGACAGCTCCCGTTGGGTTCCCTAGTCTGCCAGTACAGTAACTCCAGACTTACTAATGATTAATTATTGTAGTCGAACTGAAGCCCCAGTGTGCTGTGCAATTTAGTTCACAGTCACTACAATGGCTGGGTTCAAATCTCACCGCCACCACTAGTGTTACAGAGGTAGCGTTAACTTAACGATGGCCTCAGAAGACTTGGTATTTACTTAATGTTGGTCAATTAAGAGTAATGTCCCATTCACAAGGCAAAGCCTGGATATTATTGTGTTGCAGGGCTCGAAATTCATTTTTGGGAATACATGTAGGTGCACTGGTGCACCTAACCTAAAAAATTAGGTGCACAAAAAATATTTTGGGTGCAACACATAAAACAAAACATAATTAGAGATCTTACTGTTTTTCTTCTGAGCTTGAATACAAAATGGGAGCTAACTTCAAAATCTGAAGCAAGTACTACAAGAAAGATTTTATTATTTTTCTGAAACTTAGGTGCCAAGAATATCCTGTATACTATCATACATTTGATATGTAAAAAAATGCACCAGTGCACCGACAGAAAAAATATGGGTGCACAGCTTTAATTTTGGGTGCAGTAAGGTGCACATGCACCCAGTATTTCAAGCCCTGTGTTGTAATTTTCATGACAGTCTGTATTTTTAAACATGTGTGCCCAGGGATATCTGAAAAACAGATATAAGAGATATACCCTGGTGAAATCGATAAACTTGAAACTTGATGCCAGACCCAGAGCACACTGGGGCCAAAGTAAGTGTGCACAGTGGGATAGTACTTTGGCCCAGTGTGCTATGGGTCTGGCATCCAGACTTAGGCATTATGCTTTGGAGGGCAGATAGCTTCATAACTTATACCGCATATTCTCTGAGCAGATATCCTGACATAGCACATAAGGAAAGGAGTACATCTGTCTCTCTTTTATCCAAGTTTAGCAAATCACCTCTTACATATATCATTTGTAAGACACCCTAATGGTGTACAAGGCTGTATGTGGTAACAGCACCATCGCACATGCACCATTAACACACTGAAGTACACCCAACATCTGGCAGTACTGATATGCTGGTTACGGCACATTTGCCCTTGGGTGCTTTGGAACACCCTTCGGAGCTTGCTGTGATATATGAAGGTGTCTATATTCAATAGACTATGTATACGTTATTCTGGGACTATCGATATCGCACACATGCAGTGAGCCTGACAACATACATTTGTATGTTCCATCACACTTTGCTGGAAGTCTGGGGGATTCAAAGAGTATGAAGCTGTACTGTAAATAAAGAGAAATAATGTACATTTCGGGCATTGCTTTGGACTATAAGGTCTTCTATGTCCAGCAACTTTCAACTCATTGCCTCTTGCTTTGCAAGCAACACAGTTGTGAATGTTTGGTGGGCACATTTTGAAAGCTTTTAGTTATGCCCCAAATCGTGAGTTATGCCTAGCCCGGTTGGCCCTGGTATCTGACATGGCTAAAATTAATTACATGTATCTACAATCTTATATATCTGCCATGGCTAAAATAATTACATGTATCTACAACCTTGGGATATTTGCAAGTTGTCTTGATTTCGTATCTACACCTTTCCATCTATGTGCAGTTTCATTAATCTACATCATATCGCCACACAACTTTTTAATTAAGAAAAATAAAAAGTCAAACACAATTACGTAATTAAATTTCTCCTTCTAGACGCTGTCAATGTTAATAGATGCAGTTGATTGAATGAATGATTATTTCATCTCAAGAAGAAAGCCAATCTCAAGTGAACTGATATGATTAGCACTGGGCCCTAGTAACCCATTGTATCTGAATGCCAATTTTTCAGCTTGAAAACATTTGCTCAAACGTATGATATTAAATCATGCCAAACCAGCAGATTAGAAAATTACTACTGTACAAAAACCCTTTTCAAGGTTATGTGCAATATGAAGGTCATAAGGTCGTTCACGTCTTGGCATCAGGTGTCGTCCTTGATCTGACCAAGGAGGTGAGAGTCTCACTATAACCTTGTAGTGACCTTGAGGCCACACCAATTTAATTTCTTGGTTAATGGATTTTTCTAGAAAAATAATGGAGCAGGCGGGTGAAAAAAATAGAAATAAAAACAGGCCTAGGCATCCTATTATGGCCCAAAATGGTACGATAGGAGCCATGAAGTCAACACAAAATTTAAACAATGAATTTTGAACTTTTAATGATACCACTGCATTGAAAGATGGAATAACTCTAACAACTAGGAAGAAAAGGACTGTTTTCAACTGTTCAGTGCAAAATATGAGCATTTTGCAGTTTTTTTTCAAATCAGAAAAAAATGAAGCAGGCAAATCTGTTAACCAAGAAATTAAATTGGTGTGGCCTGAACATCCAGGAACCATGCAGTCAGCAGTTCGCAGGTGTAGTTGCAATGCATTCTGGTCTATAGGTCAAAGTTCATGAGTCTAGTACACCTAGAAAAGTCTGGCAGTTTTCAAAATCTATCCAGTTGCCTGAATAACTTTTTCCTTGTGTATCTCATTACCTGGAATTGTCTAACCTTCATCGATATGCCTGAGGTTTTGAGAAGTATTATTCAGGTGCAGATGCCTCTGCTTCAACAGTAAACAGTAAGCAACACAGTAGAGGGCTAGTCCACTAGTAGTGGTGAGTGTTCAACTACTAATATTATACTCTTTCACATAAGACCTCAGCGCTAGTCAAAGAACAAAACCACTAACCAAGGATGTACCATTGTTCAAGTCTTGACCAGCGCTCGAAACAGTTATTGTATCTAGAATTGCGTATCAAAGAATATAGATTCGCGCCAGGCAAGGTTATGGATACGAGTGGACTATCCAGAACTGAGCCTCAGAACATGGTTCTGGATAAAGCGCCATTCTGGATGCAGGTATGGAAAGCAAGGCAAATAAATACTCTATCATTGGGTCTTTGTGACATTATTAACACAAGACTTTACAGATGCGTGACATCAGCAATTGATCAGATGTGCCATCGTACTATTGCTACCATTGCAGCGACACTGTCAAGTACAATAGCCTTAACAGATGTGTCTTAATCTTGAATAGAATGTTAGTTTGTGTCCTTACCTTCGAATGGCGCCTCAGTGTCCCAGGTGTTCCACAGGTGGCAGACGAAGAACGGCGACCAGCACACCACGTAGGCGATGACGATCACCAGCGTCATCTGCACCGTCTTCACCTTGGTGGCCGTGAAGTCGATCCCCATGTGAGTCCTGGGCCTGACGGTCAGCTGCCGGTGACGGGTCACCTTGACCCCCCGCCGCGTCCTCACCACGTCCAGGTTGTCGCTCTGGAAGCTCTTCCACACCTGCCGACAGATCAGCACGTAGACGAACGCGATGATGAAGCAGGGGACCACGAAGAGCGAGAGACAGCACCAGGTGACGTACGCCTTGTCCCCCCAGTCCCCCTCGAACTCCCCCCAGCAGTCGTACTCCCCCTGTACCAGCTGCAGCCGGAAGATTTGCGCCTGCGGTACGGCGAACAGGAACGACAGACACCAGCTCAGCAGGATCAGTCGTTTCGGGTGCTTGGAGGTCTTGGTGAGGACGGACATGGGGTGGCAGATCGCCGAGTACCGGTCCATTGCGGTGGCGACTAAGACGTAGGACGAGCCGTACAGGGACGCCAGCTGGATGAACTTGACCACCCGGCACATGATGTCGCCGGCAAGGAACCGGCCCGTCACGTCCCAGATCAGCTGTGGGAGGATGTTCGTGAAGGCAACGGCAAGATCTGCAATACTGGAAAGAGATGATAAAATTATTGTGTTAACCTTTGCAGAAGGAAAACATTGTTTTTGCTCTGTTTCTTCTTCCTCTTCTTCAATGAGCTGAATCAGACTGTCACCATGGTAACTAGGGTTGGGTTACATCATGTTGCAATTTTATAGCAGGAGGGATTTAGGCTCCTATTCTAGTAGCAACTTCCTGCCCGAAGGCTAATTGCAGGTACATTGTACATGTAACATGAGAGTAAAAAAAGACAATAGATATCAATATACGTGTAGCATATTTCCTAATAAGATTTCTTCTTATAATGGCCTACTTTCTATCTGATATTTCCAATGCCAAAATATACCATTAGTTCAAAATTGCTTAATGTGCCTCTGGGTAACATAAGGTATGCCATATGTTTATAATATACAAAACTACCTTTACGGTATTGACATACTATGACAAGTTGCATACATGTAAACATAAGCAGGGGAGAGTCATTACCGGTTGTGTTAAAAAAAAATCCCAATACCCTACATCACATATATTGAATGGGAGAAAGCAGGCAATATCTTTAAGTTAGACTCCTTATAGCAGGCGTCATCTGGCAGTTAGTTATCCTGCCTCTGGACCAGGAGGTTGGGAGTTTGAATCCCGCTCAATTGACCTACATTCTGCTAGCCTGGGTGCCATGCTCCTTAGTTACCACCGGATGTCTCTTGTTGTTACCATAGTAGCAAGAAAGAGACAAGACAAAACCGGTTATAACTACGGAAGAGGCGTGATAATAGCCAGGCATGGGAGATCCGGTGGTAACTATGGGGGATGGCACCTAGGTTACTGGCATGCTACAGCAGAGCTCGAAATTTATTTTTAGGAATAGGTGCACTGGTCCACCTAACCTAAAAAATTGGGTGCAGAAAAAATGTTTTAGGTGCACCAAGATAAAATATGCAGAATATCTATAAAACTATGATTATGTTTCATTTCCAGGAAAGTACTATGACAATTATTGTATTATTTTTTCTGACACTTAGATGTTAATTAAGAATATGATGTAACTACTATATATTTACATACGTTAAACCTATTAAAAATTTGGGTGCACTGGTGCACCCACAGAAAAAATTGGGTACACAGCTCCAAATTTGGGTGCACTAAGGTGCACATGCACCCAGTATTTCGAGCCCTGATAGTACATAGTGTCTTTCTTTCGACCAGTGGAAAAATTAGCTTTTCAGTGTAACTGGGTTGAGATCACGTTCCTGTGCACTTCATACATGAGATATTTTCCATTCTGTCATTCATTACACGTATCAAATCACATAGCTATTACACGCCTAGCCCTAGCGGAAGTGAACAGGCCGATATAATGCCAGTTTATTTGGCAGGTTTGCTGGTTGATTGATTCGAATCATCGCGGTACTTAAATGTCTACCACACCAGCGAGCCGTATTAAATGAAATACTTCCATCACAGTGGCAGTAAGACGTGAGTGTATGGTCTAATGAATCTAGCATGAAAGTCTACCAAATCATTTTCACACTTAGTTTATTCTACATGTTAATACGTGAGTGTGTAGTGTAATGAAACTAGGCCAAAACTCTATAGAATCATTTTTACACATCGGTTATTATGGGTTCACCACACCACCATATTGCTTTTTCTGATGTTTCTTCTCCTCCTCCTGCCATATCTTTAAATGGATTCAGCTTCTTCATTTTAGGGCCTAAGGTCCTGAAATTTGGTATGGAGGTACAGTGGGCAAATACCCCTAGGCGTTTTTTAAATTATTGTGATACAGGCTTTTAGAATGGTTTTATTTGAGTTTTTTGGCTGTGTAATAGCTAATGTATTTACTGTGTAAGTGTGCAGTGTTTACCACATTTGGACATGAGTCATCACAATGGCATGCAAGGCATCAACCAATAGGCATGCAGCTTTCCTCTATTCTCCTTGCTGATTGGCTGTTGGGATTTAACTGGCTTAACTTCATTTACACCTGCACAGAGCCATGCCATACTGACAGTATGTCTGTATTCAAGTGTTTTGGTAGGTATTTTAAGCTTTCCTGCTCCAGCATTGGAATGCGGGCTATGAACGCTTCTTTTTATCTTGAAAATCAACAGTTTGCATTATGCAATCCTAACCAATAATGTAGGGAATAGCTATCCAACTGTTGTAGTCTTAGTTGTATGTTACTTCATACTATAGTTATATCAATGTAAAGCATTGTTTTCCCTTGTGTTTCTCATTCTTTCCCTGCCATGTGGTAAAATGTGGTGAACCCATCGCTATATTTGCTCCAAAGCAAATATTGGCCTTTCTAGTTCTACATGGTGATACGTGAGTGTGTGGTCTAACTGAAACTCTATAGAATCATTTTTACACATCAGTTATTCTACATGGTAATACGTGAGCGTGTGGTCTAATGACACTAGGCTGAAACTCTATAGAATCATTTTTACACATTGGTTATTCTACATGGTAATACGTGAGTGTGTAGTCTAACGAAACTAGGCCGTAAGTCTACAGAAGCATTTTTACACATTGGTTATTCCACATGCAATGAACCTATATATGATTTAACGCCTCAACAGATAAACTTCTGATGGGTACCATAGCTACAATCCTAATAGGACTAGCCCAGGTCATAGAAGGTACACCCTTGATGCATTGTACTATCTTTTTCGAAATCCAAAATGGTACCCTGTGGTTTTTGCTGACAATACATACAATTGGTTCTGTCCCTGGTGCTGAAGTGAGAACACACAACACTGAATTTAAAGAGATACTATTACAGCATACTCCAGCCAGATATTCAGTTGTTGAACAGGTACTTGAGAATGCTTTGCATTGGTAATAACGTGTTTCGTTCTTTAATGGGGGGTTGTTAAGTACCTGGTGCAATCATGGGGGTTCACGTTACATGTGCCTGTTATGGCTACCGCTGAGATATCTGTTTTGGTTTCCGCTTGTTGGGTGCTACGTTTGCGGGCGGTATACTGGTATCTGAAATGTTGTGAAGGGATTTTTATGATTTTTGCTTGTCTTTATGTTTTACACCAGGAAGGAAAGAAATTATCAGAACTTTTTTTTTATTGAAACATATAATGACAAGACATGGTGGCGACACACTCAAGATACACTTATATTCATGTCGCCACCAGACAATACATAATACATACAACAAGCAAAGCACAGATAACATTGAAATTGAATACTATGATGAATCAATGGACAGGTGAAACAGATATATAAAAACAGGATTGATCAATAAACTATGTTACAAAAAATGGTGAGATTCCAACAAAAATACCTGGACATGCTGTAATATTTGAATATTGTTCCTTATTGAGAGAAAAGAAGAACCATTCAAAAGAAAATGTAGCAGAATATCATCAGAAAGATTATCAGAACTTGACCGTGCAAAAGTGTTTACCTCAACGGAATCATCAAACTTGCAATTTCAAGATCTTTACGTTGAGTTTTAACCAACCAAGAAGTATACTTATGTTTTTTTTTATATATATTCCAACATGTTATCACCAGACGTGGTGACGGCACACTCGTTTTTTTTTCAACTTATATTAATGCCGCCACTAACACAGGGGACAATACAATACTCATTTTCACCTGAGCGAAGTGAGGAAGGTCGTATAAAGTGCCTTTCCCAAGGGCACAAGATCGGTGGAATGTCAAGACTCGAACCCGGGACCTCTTGATTCCGAGTCGAGCACTCTACCGCTACGCTATACATATACTTATGTTCGCTGTGAAGTGTTATAATTCCTCGATACGTTTACCATAACAACGAACCAAATGCTAGTAAACGAAGAATATGCACGATGTAGTACTAACCATAGATGTGTGAGGAAAAGGTGCATCCGCCTGTGGTGCCGTCTGCTGTGGTAGATGTCTGCCAGGACGCACAAGTTCCCGCCGAGCGCCAGGAACATCATCGCGCCCAGAACCCCCACCTCTATCGCCGCTAGCGTCTCGTCCCGCTGAAACCCCGGGATGGCCGTGGGGAAACTCTGGTTCGAAACGTTCGGGAGGGAGAAGCTGTTGTCCCCGCTACCTTCCATGGTCCGACTCGGTGAAAGACTACGAGTATAGTCCCGCACGGCGAAAAAAATGCGTCTTTAGTTCACTCAGTTGTACCGCTTTCTACATATCGCGAATAAAACCTCTGCAACTGTCATTCGAAAGAGTTATAGGTTTCCTCATTCGATCGGGGAAAGACTGCAGTCCCGTGGCGCAGGAAAAAAATGCGTTTCTTTCCCTCGACTCGACCGCTTTCTACAACTCGCGAATGCACCTCTGCAACTGTCCTTCGAAAGAGTTATAGATGTCTCAAAAGGGCGGTATTTGAATACGCGTGGCTTCCGCGACAAGATCACTGGGGCGCTAACTCCAAATTGCAGTCCCGTGGCGGAAAAAATGCGTCTACCGCTTTCTACATATCGCGAGTGAACCTCTGAAACTGTCACTCGAAAGAGTTATAGGTATCCTCAAACGGGCGGTATTTGAATACGCGTGGCTTCCGCCAGAAAGATCGCTGGGGCGGATGCTCCACGTTGCAACCTGGCAACCAAATTATTCCCCGGCCTCTCTCATTTGTGGGGCTTTATACTTGGGGCAGGGGGGTGGAGGGGGATGACGTAGGGCAGTTACCATGGCAACAAGACGCTTACGTTCACGGCGTCAACGTCAGTTCGCCAAGTTTTAACAATACAGAATCGTCATAGGAAGCTTGACTGGGACATATCCAATTGTCATCCTCCCATTGCTTCCTTACATGTAGGGCAGCTAACTAACGTATTTGCCGCGGGATAGCTCTACCGTGGGAGAATGCCAATTGTTAGAAGAGCAGGCAAACATGTATACAAACACCTAATTAGGACAAGCCCAGATCGTAGCACGAACTCTTGATGCATTGTATCTTTTCCGAAATCAGCATGTGCCTCCATTAATGGTACACTGCGGTTTTCAATGACACTGCACGCAATGGGCTCTCTCCTTGGTGCTGAAATCAGAATCTAGTGGAAAATGCATTGCAATCCTTCATAAGAAGGTTTCTTTGGACCATTCTTTAATCATGAAAGCTGAAATCGTTTTATTGAAAGCTAAAAAAAGCTTTTCATTGAGGATATGGGGAAAGAGGTAAGGAAATATATAACATGTGTGACAATTCTATTGTTAGTAGAGGAAGCAAACATGTAAATAAACAATTAATTAGGGATGGCTCAAGTTATAGAGTACGCTTTTTATGTATTGTGTTATTTTTCCAAAATCCGCAGGTGCCTCCTTCATGTGCATACATGATACACCATGGTTTCCGTTGACAATACATGCAATGGGCTCTTTCCTTGGTGCTGAAATGAGAATCCAGCAGAGAATTCATTGCAATCCACCATTGGAGGGTGTGTGTGAACCATTCTTTATACATGAAAGCTCAAATCCTTTCATTGAAAGCTAAAAAAAAGCTCTTCGTTGAGGTTATGAGGGAAGAGGTAAGGGTCAGACAAAATAAATAACGTCCATGTTAAATATCTTAGGATGGTTACAACAAATAGCTAGTTTCTACTTGCTAGAGTATCTCTATACAACAAATATCTGCTTTCACAAATTACCTTATTATTTACTTCATCATAGATTTTCATCAAATTGTCACTATCACTGTTACTCCTACATAGTAATATAATAGTAATATAGATATTATATATATTTGATGAAAACACCATAAAATTGTGTTTTACTTTAGTTTTGCCTTAGCACTTTGCATTTCATGTCTGAAAAACATGCTTGTCCGGATATGAGTCATGCTGTGTCCTAGATACATATTTTAGGCCACACCAATTTAATTTGTTGGTTCTCGGATTCGCCTCTTCGTTTTTTTCTGATTTGCAAAAAAAAAAATTTGATTCTGGTCTTGTATCAACTGAAAAATGCTCATGTTTTGCCCCCAACAGTTGAGGAACGTCCTTTTCTTCCTAGTTGTTACAGTTTTCCCATCTATCATTG